GAGCTGAAGGCAGCCCTGACTGTACCCCTGGACCCCGGCCAGTTGCAGCTCGGTCTTCTACCCAAGGCGCTCGCTCAGTCCTCCGTGCTCCAGCCTCCTGCAGGGACCTCGGGGAGCCAGCACTCCACATCCGCTGGGCCCGCTCCTTCTGCAGAAAGAGGGGGAGACTCGGGAGTGGGGAGAACATGCGCCAGGCCCCACAGAGCTGAACACAGAAGCCCAGGGACGTCCCCTCCTCAGGTTGCTCAGGGTGAGTGGACTCCCCTCCGTTGTCCCATCTGTGGAGCTGGTGACCGCTTCCAGGTGGTCTCAGGGTCGCTCCTTAGAGCCGAGTTTTCTTTATAAGTTGCAGGTCTTGGGAAGATTCGGCTGAGTTTTCTTTCTCATGGTGGCCACTAATTTCCCTAACTCGGTGCCCGCGGGGGTACCCGGGCTGCGGCTGAGGCTGCGGGGTGCCTGGCTCTCTGTCTCACGTCCGGGGGCTGTGCGTCTGGGCTCACGAGGTGCTGGCCGCGGTCTCCTCCCTCTGAAGCTCAGGGGAATCTGTTTGTTAGCAGGAGTGTCTTGGGGAGAAGTCAGGAGCTACCTGTGGGCTGCTCCTTGGGGAGGCCTCTCTGAGTCCCCCCAGGTGAGCCAGGCGGGGTTTTCTGCCCAGACCTCATGCTGTCGGGCTGATGGAGCACATCTGTGGCCTTCGGGGGACGCCGGGGGCTTTGGTGTCCAGGCTCAGGGCCAAGCCAAGAGTCAGCCGTTACCATCTGGGCTTCCTCCCCTCAGGAGCCTCTGTTGGAGCCTCTGCCCCCTGGGGTCGCTTCAAGGAGCCGCAGGGTCAGGCGAGGAGAAGGCACTGGGTGTTTGGGCGGCGTGCCCAGTGGATAAGGCAGGGCCCCCGGGGCCACGGACAGCCTGTGCTGCCCGGATAGGGGGCGGGTGCCAAGCTGGAGGCCCAGGCCTGTTCCCTGGCCGGAGGGTGGGGCTTGGTCCTCTGGCCCCGGATGGAAAGTGTTCCCTGACAGTTGCCAGCCTGCTCTGGGGACCCGTTTCAAGGGCTCACTGTGTTGGGAAATCGGTGTGGGTTGAAGCGGGGGCGGGGTCCCGGGAAGGGCCCCTTAGAGCGTTGGGAGTGTAAAAAAAAATCGGCCCTTCCCAGCCTCCCAAGGTGCAGACTGAGAGGCCGGTCTGGACCCCAGGAATGCACTGCTCCGGGCGCAGTGGGAACGCAGAAGTGATGAGAACTGTGGGGTCCCAGGGCTGCAAGGGTGCTCACAGCTCATGTGGTTGGGTTATTCTTGGCCTGGGATCCCCCAGCCTCCCAGGGGACCCATTCTTAACACTTCAAACACTCGAGCAGAGATGGCTTTAAAATCACGTATTCTTTGTTCCTGACCAAAATTAGCTTCAGAACCGGTTGGCTGTGGGACCTCGTTGGAACCTCTGGGTTCCCTGCTGGGCCACAGACAATGGGAGAGGTTCCCGGCGGGAGCCTCTGGGGCGTGGTTCCTGGTTTTGAGGATGAAGACTGGGCGCTTTGAGACGCTGAGTTACTCGCCGAGGCCACAGAGCCAGTAGGTGGCCGAGAAGGCGGTAAAATCTGGACCGTTTCAGAAAATCAGGTGGACCCTGAGCTGATTCGCATCTGGATTTGGAATGCGGTGTCTGCCCCGCTCCCCCAGGACACAGGGACCTCCTCCCGTATTCTGTTAAAAGCAATGGGGACGTAGGTGAAGCTCCCTCCGGCCCCACCGATGAGTGGAGAGAAAGTGCTGGACAGGTGAGCCGGCCGCGGGGACGGACACCGGCTCTGTGAGCAGATCCCCTGAGCCGCTTCCCTCGTTCAGGCCACCTCCGGGGCTGGGGCGCAGAAAGATGGGCCCCGCGTTCCGCTTCGGTCTTGCGTGGGCTTGTTGCTGAGGGCGAAGGCAAAGGGGTGGGGAGCTGAGGGGCTTTTGCAGGAGTTCAAGGGCGAAGCGTGGCCACGTGGTCTGGCTGCGCTCTTTGTTGGGACCAGGGCTTTATTCGTGGGTTTCCTGGTCTCATTTCCTGCTCGTGGCAGCGAGAAAAACCACAGGAAGGGCTTGGGAGAGGATGCCAGGGCAGGCGGTGGAGGTGGCTGCCCTGCCCTTTTCCAGTCGGGGACCTGAAGGGCGTGGCCGCCCCACCTTCTTGGGAGGTGGCTGGGGAGCCTCTAGAATGTTAGTCCCTGGCCCTGGCTCTCCCAGTACTTGGGAGGGCGTGTGCCCAGCTCTCCAAGCTTGCAGACCTCAGGCGATTGGATGTATGGGGAATGTTCCAACTTGGATCTTAAGGACATTAAAGAAAAAGTCTTTATTGATGAGAGTACTACAGATGTCCCCTCTTTTCCCCTCCATTGCCCTGTCCGCCGGGTTCCCGCTCCACCCCAGGCCTTCACCCCACTGTTGCCGGTGTCCAGGGGTTGTGCACACGTGCACGAAAGTTCTCTGGTTCACCTCTCCCCGGCCCTCCCCTTCCCTCTGAGACCCCTCAGTCTGTTCCCGGCCTCCGTGCCTCCGGTTCTGTTTTATTGATCACACTTTGGGAGCAGAAAAGCACCTTTCTGGGTAGGAGTTGTCTGTTTCCGGCACCTCCCTTTATTTCCAAAGTGTTTAGGATTCACAGTATCTCTTTCTCACATCACAGTGTCTTCTGTGGTTTCATAGCTCAGAGCCTCGCACATCACTGATGATAAAGTGGGAGGAAACCCCTCTGTCCGTCAGTGACCACTCTGTGGCTCAGGCCAGGCTCCCCCCGACGCACCTCGGTTTCGGGCGCGGAGGCCGCAGACGCCGCCACCTGAAGCCAGCTTGAGATCACACCTTCCCCCCGCCCCCCGTGAAAGTGGGTCGAGTTTCTCCACCGAGGCTCTGTCTCCTCGCTCAGTGTCCAGATGACGGGGTCAAGCGTGGCCCCTACCGGCAGCGTGTGCCACCCCCACCTTAACGTGGAATTCCACATTCAGGATTTAAAGTTCACCGCAAGTCACGAATTCTGTAGCATGAGACTGTCTGGCGGGTGGCTCGTGACTTTGGCCAGAAGACTGGCTTCTGTCACTGTTTTCCTCGGGAGGATTTGTTATCTCCTGGAGGAGACGCGGGCGCTGACGGAGATGTCCCCCGTCGGTCCGAATGGGACGCGGCGTCCCGGGCAGCTCTCCCACTGAGGCCCGCGGGCGGGGACCTCTCGGGGTGCCTTAGTCGGGGCCTGTGGGCCGCGAAACACACCCCTGCTGCAGAAATAGGCGACTGAGGCGCAACCTGACATTTGAAACATTTTTGTTAGTAGCTCTCGCTAAGCGAATGAAAACCCCCAGTGCTTCAAATCTTAGAGCAGGGGAGCTTTAAAAAGTTCCTGCTAATTCAGGCAGCTTCTAGACATGCTTCCTCTCTTCCTGATGCAAAAATTCCTGAGATAACCCTCCCCCTTCCCAGAAGAGACGCTGCTGCGCCCCTAAACCCGGGCAGTGACGGCCTCACGCTCAGAGGGCGCCCGCGCCCCGACTTACAAAGAGGGCTTCCCCTCGGCAAGCCACCACGCCAGGTCTCGAAAACGCAACTTTTAAGGCCTTCTGGTTTCCCTGGTCTATTTTGGGAAGGAGATGAAATTCTAAGTTACAACTGTTCCTGAAAGTGCAGTTTGGTTTTTCTCCCCTCTAGAGGGCGGGATATCCTGCCGGGCGCCGGAAAAATCTCCAAGCGGCGCTGGAGTCCTTAGGGTGGGGTCCCCGGGCCGCAGGGCGAGGGTGGCAGATGCCCCAACGGAGCTCAGGTGTGAGTGTACTGAGGTGAACCTGAGCCTTGAAACGAGGGATCCTCCACTCTCAGACGATTTCATTACCCGGGCATTAACCAAATAAGAACTTCTAGAGGAAACGTTCACCTGCGCCTCCTGAAAAAAGTCTGAATTCACAGCGAGGCGCGCGCTTTCACGCCACGCGGCGGCCGGGCGCGGTTCCTGAATTTACAACCGGGTGGGACGTTAAGAGGAACCGACCCAGTCACTCAACTTCTCACCGCCTGCCCTTCGCTAGTTTCTCCTGATAAGCAGCAACTCGTTCGAACATATTTTTAAAAAATGCACACAAACTATAATTATGAATGTCCCATGTAAGATATTTGTTAATAGTAAAAAATAAATCGCCGACTCTCAGGCTTAGGGTCGTTCGCCCGGGATATGCATGGTTAGGGTCCCGAGTTACAGGGCCCGGCTCAGGGAGGAGAGCCCAGCCCTCCCCTTGGCCTCTGCGCTCTCATAGCCGTTCACGTGTAATAAGCCCTGTTTTGCTCCAGGGCAGGGAGCTCTGGGGTCCAGGGAGGGGATGCAAATGACCAAAACGTAGGCCCCTCTCGCTGGTCAGTACATACAACTTCCACTTGGCTCTTTAAAACATCAGAAAACTGCAGCCTTGGGGGACGCTTTCGCCACACCCTGGACACTCGGGGTGAAGAGGCGCTGAATCAGTGGCCTGAGGCCACGGAGCGGGGGCAACGCCAGTGCCCGTCTCCTGGGCACTCCCACCGCTGGCGTGTCCCGTGCACGGACGGCTGGGACCGGGACTGTGGCGGGAGCCCAGGCTCCGGGAGGGCAGTTTTGAGTATCATGTGAAGAGGGACACTTGGTCCCCTGTGGTGGAGCAAAATTTAAGTTTACTTAGCAAAGAGGTAATTGTTGTTTAAAAAAATCTGGAAAGAAAAAGGAGAGAGGGAAAATAAGACGAATATGCGAAGTTCTGCCAAACCCTCTCCCAAAGGCAAATTGTTAGTCTTTCGAAGGGGTCTGGCTGCGCATCGCATAGTGTAATCCTGCGCTTCTCCGGAAAGCTAGGGCTCAGGGAACGCGGAGAAACGGCCTGAGCTGGGGAGGCAGGGGAAGGGCGGTGGGAAGTGTTTCTGTCCCTGAGCCAGCACCGCCCCTGCCCCCCGGCCTGTGCTATACATTCATTTTCAAGGACCCGGAGCATGAAAACTGGCTACTGGAAGGAAGGAAGTGCTCATGGATGGACTGGTTTAATTTCAAAATTAAAAACCGAACAGCAGCTGGAGATGACTCAGGTCTCAGGGGGAGCCGTTCCAGGAAACCGCTTTGTCTCTTCTGGAATCTTCATCAGTCGATTCGGCAGCCCAGGGCCGGCGTCGGGGCTGGAGCCAGCTCAGCTGAGCCCTGGATTGCCCGGGGGTGGAGGTGGGGCCCTCCGCTTCTGGTGGGGGCCGCAGGAAGCCCCTTGCCGGGTGGAGG